AATCGCCGCCCTTCCCGCGTCCGAAACATTGAACCCCTGACCCCCCATCTCGGCCCCCGTACGGCCCAGAACCGGCGCCATTCAATCGGCCGTGCGATCCTGTTTCTTGGCTGTGTCTGGGTCATCGGACGACCTCCCTCAGCTTTTGTCGGCAGAAGCAAAAGCAGCGTGCCATTTTTTGCACGACCGAAACAGAGACAGACAGACACGTCGCTTTGGGCGTGAGCTTTTTCCATTTGCCAAGTTGCCATGTGCTCGTCGGTATATAGGCTCCCACGTGCGGAGACGGAAATGAATTTTAGAGTTGTGTGTCGCATTGCCGTTATTAGTGGTTGTAACATCAGGCCAAGTAGTCGGCCCGCTTGCTGGCCTGCGGCCCTTCCAACTTTATGCATAACGTATTGTAATGTGGTGAAAGTTCCTTTCCCACGTCTGCGGTCTTTCTACTGGGCAAGCCATTCATTCGACCTTCTTCGGGGTCTTGATTGGCGTTCATCCATGATCGGGGGTGACCTCCGCCTCACACATAATTATCGTGGACGAACTAGTGTACATGTGTCCCCCGCACCACATTGCCCTGACCTGGCTACACACCACCTGCGCGGGTGTGATCTGGGTCATGCGGATCTGCCCGCCCTCACAGCTTCGTAGAGTGGAGATTTAACAACGTCCCAGACGGTGCGGTGCATATGCACGTTTATTTCCGTCCGTACCTTATTTGATCTGAGGCCTACGTCTAGAAGTTGTCCTTTTTCATGAATCCATGTTCAAGACAAAAACCTGTCAGCGCTAGGGCATGCATTTTCGTAATCATGTTCTCTGCTTACCAAGGTAACTAGTTAATGAATTTGTAACATGTTGTTATTAGAATTAGATTCATGACCATAACTACCGTGAACCGGGTAAACTTCCCAAGTTCCTCGGTCAGGTAAGTTATATATAAGGCACAAACTCAACTTGCTTCCCGACTGTAGAACAAACTAGTTAGTTCCTAGGTAACCGAGGCTCTAGAGCAGTAGAGAAGAGGTTTGAACGAGCCTCTCCTGAACAGATATCAGCCCAGAGCGGGAGTTGTGAAGTGAACATAAGACGAGCTTGAGTACACTAGTGATAAGGTCACCGATGTTCGAAACTTACCAAATCACGGGTTCAGCGTAGAATGATATTAACAACTACATGACTAGAAAACTGTAGGAGTATACGACGGATAACTGTGAGCTTCGCCCATGAACCATCTGCAATCCGATCGTGAAACTCAGAGGGGCAGCAACTTGAACTCTTAGAGGCAAGCGAGTGGTGACATTTTTAATGCGGCGGACCCGGCTACCGCTGCGCCGTACTTTTGCCGATAAGGTAGCCGGCATGGTGAGAAGGCAATCCCCCGAGTGACCACCACCCGTGCAAACTAGAGGCCAGAGGATTCCATGATCCTGCCTATTACGATCTTTTAGTAGCCATATAACTGTATGTTCCGAAGCCCACTTCCTGTTCTACAGCGTTCGAATACGTGGTTGATAACTGGCTTCGATTGCCCAAATACTTGTCAGTCATTCTAAGGATTGTTATGACGAAATAGCTGAGTGCTAATTACCTTCCTAGGTCGATTCTTAACGCTGTACTTTAATATTTGGGCCTCTTTTGGACCCACTTTGCTACCAAGTGCCATCCTGGAGTTAGCTAACTGGGTATTTAAACAAGAGCATTGTCTCCTGGGACGCTTCGAATGGTAGCTGTTGAACCCACTGGGTATAAGGAAGGGGCACTCAGGATGCGGGAGCAGGTGCGCAGGGAGAAAAGCGACCTGGGAAGGCAGTTTCGGGAGCTTGAGAACAGGTTTTTTTCAGGGCTTAAAAGGGCAACCACCAGACATCAACATACGATCGAGCATCAAGCAGAAATCAAGCTGCATATCAATCTCTACAAGCTTGATCAATCTTGTAACCGTGAATTGTGGCTGTTGGACTTCCAACAGTAGCCTTCCAACACACCCTTACTCGGTAGCGAACTTCGAAACCAGCGCTTCTTTCTGGTAATGACAGACGGTTCTGTCAAAGAGGAAAAGAAGACTTTCATCCGGCCTCGCTTTTTGCAGGAGAGAGTCAGGGATAAAATCACGCTTGGAAGGCTATGCAGCGAAGGCGAGCAGCTGTTCAACAATTCAAGTCGCAGTCTTTGTGCGACTTGCTCTTCAACCTTTCTCAGATAGAGACAGAAATCGAACTCGGTGTGTCACGAGTGACAAGTCGGCAAAGCTCAGGTAGGTAGGTGCCTGAGATGGTGAGAATGAGCCGATCGATGTGTGAAATGTCGAGAAAATCCAACCCCAAGAAAACCTAACACCATATCCTATCAGCGATTCTGGGATAACGTGATTCCAAATGCGTATCATACGATTGAACATATGATGATGGCTTGCTTCAGTTTTCTGTTTGTGTCAAAGCCCCCGTTTCCGCACCCACCCTTGAATACTGAGCAACTCGAATTGCTACGAACATAATCGCTGATATACGCGGTGGGCGAATTTTTAGGGCCAACACCATCTGGTTAGTCACGCTTGTTGTGGCCGAGGCACACATGGACATGATTATTGCGCGACATTTCTCCTCGAAAATTTGGGCATAGCAGCAATGGCTCTTCAACCCCTCCAAACTGACTTAGTCTGGGACTGAAGCTCGGCCCGAGCCTTCCGGACCACATCTACCAACTACTACCATTTAGTATGTAGGTAGGTACGCAGCACACTAGTAAGCGGCCTATCCGCCTTCCCAATGGGGGTTGGCAACCGAGTGTCTGTTTTCCATAGAAGGTAGCGGGCTAGTGTGCATACGCGTCGAGAACGTGCCGATTGACCTCCCTCCTTGGTAGAGACTGCCATCGGGCTGCGCTCGAACGATTTCTCGCGTCATTGTCCTCGAGGAAGAGTTGCGGGTCCCAGGGGTCCTGCTCGGTTAGGTGAGTGTAATACGGGGCCGGTGGCGTGGTGTTGCCGATTGAGTAATCCGTCTTCTCCTACTGAGCTGGAGGGTTGGTTGATCGTATGGATTACACCAGGATGCGCTCACAGCTGAGATGAGGCGGAGGGATGACAAGAATTCTTTGGCATCTGTATGCGGGTCAATATCTCCGGTTTTTGATAGGTGATGATGCTTCAGTGTAAATACTACCTCCCTTATTTCGGCCTGCTGCCCCAACCAAAATCTTCGGCTACTTTTAGCACAGAATCAATCAGCTGAATGGCAATCACTCCCCACAACTCCATATCAACGGATGGGGCTGTGGGAAGCGCCACAGCGCTATGGAACAAGACGGCACTGATCTGCAGATTCCCGAGGTGGGCTAGCCCATTTCGGAAGCTCGTCCGCTTGGCTACATCGATGCCAGATCGCAGGACCTTCTCGTTCGGGGAAGAAGACGACGGGCGCTGATGTCGGCGGCTTGTCTCAGGAAGCGAGCCATCGGAGACGCCCGTGGTGGAGCTGAGCCTCGCAAATGCCTTGGTTTCAGCTCAAAAGGCGAAGAGAATCTCTCTTCTAAAGCTCTTGTTAGAGAACTCAACAATCATCCATCATCAGGCCAATTGTTCCCTTGACGACCGTCATGATGAAGTCCGTTCTTGTGGCGTCCATCGCTGCCTTCGCCGCCGGCGTGCAAGCCGCCGTCCAAGGCTTCGACATCTCCCACTACCAGTCCAGCGTAGACTTCGCCGCGGCCTACAAGTCGGGCGCCCGCTTCGTCATCATCAAGGTAAGAAGAGAGGAAAAACCAGATGGGCACAGGAGGGAGAAAGAACAAGGAGGCTGCTATTTCCGCAATGCTCCAAAAATCAAAAGAGAGTTTGTTCCTGATATTGACCTGTCTTGTCATACAGGCGACCCAGGGCACGTCTTACCTCGACCCCAAGTTCTCGTCGCACTACACGGGCGCGACTGAGGCCGGCCTCATCCGCGGTGCCTACCACTTTGCGCACCCGGGCCAATCGACGGGCGAGGCGCAGGCCGACTACTTCCTGGCGCACGGCGGCGGGTGGTCGAGCGACGGCATCACGCTCCCAGGCATGCTTGACCTCGAGACGTACAACGCGGGCCAGTGCTGGGGCCTCTCAACGAGCGGCATGGTCTCGTGGATCAAGGCCTTTAGCGACCGCTACCATTCCAAGACGGGCGTTTACCCGCTGCTCTACACCAACCCGTCCTGGTGGAAGGCCTGCACCGGCAACTCCAACGCCTTCGTCAACACTAACCCCCTCGTCCTTGCCCGCTACAGCTCCTCCCCTGGCGAGATCCCCGGCGGCTGGCCCTACCAGACCATCTGGCAGAACTCGGACTCGTACACCTACGGCGGCGACTCGGACATTTTCAACGGCGACATCAACGGCCTCAAGGCCCTGGCCAAGGGCAGCTAAGCGACTTCGAGCGGGGGATCGGGTTCGTCTCCAACAGACTGAACTTTGTACCGGCCAGGTTTTCACATGACGGGAGGCATAATCTTCAAATCGAACTTGTTCAAGAGCAATGGGGTTAGACTTGATAAATTTTGCATCTGAACTGAACTTAACTAGTCGAATTCCTTGCGCACTTGACTCTCCCCACTATATACACTTGCCTGCCTTTCATGCCTTAGTCGTGAGGGAGATGGAAGAGACACCATGACCGTCGCTGCAGAGTTGGGGCACTTGAGCACTTGAGCCTTGAGCCATGAGCCAGAGATGAACTTAACGTGTCGCTTTCGGACTTGCTTAATTGTAACTTAGAATGAACCGGCTTGAGGCAGACAGGGTAGACACAAGACAGACAGCCAGGGAATCGGTCAGGAACACTATTAGGGATTTTGTTTGATTAAGCCACGAAGATCAACTAACTCATTCGGTCTTCTGCCGCTGGAATTGTTGTTGCAGAAAGAATAGAAATAGAAGAGAAGAAGGGCGACAGGATGGCGTAAGAAGCGGTCCAGGATGATCCAGGTTATTACAGAAGGGAAAAAAAAAAGGTCGAAAAATCAAACTCTCCCGCCGGGAATTGAACCCGGGTCTCGAGCGATGTCAGTTTTTAAGTGACAAGCTCACATACTGACCACTATACTACGGAAGATTTGCTGGTGTGGGCACCAGCCGTAGTGAGGAGTTTGTTGCCAAAGATTGGCAATACCTTCTTTATAAACCATACTTTTTCCAATTGTCTGCAACACACTTCACATTTGCGGGCGTCTAGTAACTATGCGTACCAACTCTCGCCGAGTTCTTTCCGCGGCATCGACAGCGAGCATCTCAGGATCACTAAAGCGCTCTCAGAGCTCCTTAGAGATGAATTTGATATCCTCTCTATCCATATTCATACTTTCAAATTAGCCGCCGACGACGACTGCCAAATTTCTTTACATAATTACATCCTGCCACAGTTTCTTAGCACGCGGTCCCGAGATGTCCTCGCCAAGGCGAGCAATGACGTCAATCGCCAGCTAGTTTGACGACAAGAAAGTACAACTTTCAAGTGGCACTAGAACATGAATTCGAGTCTGGTCGCAAGGACTGTGATTCCAGTAGTTTCTGCCTGTTCTATTGGATACGTTACAATGTTGGCTACGTGATACGGTGAACAGACATGAAATGGCCCCTGGGTACTTTCCGTTCGTAGTTAAACGGACGAGATGATTTATGGTACGGTACGAAGCCCATGGACGCTCGACCGTTACTACGTGAGGAATCTATTGAAGTAGACCTGCGCTTAACGCTTAATCAGAAATGAACGACTGCCAACTATCCTGAGAATCTGCGCTTTAAGCCCAAGCCCCTACGAGGCTCATACAGACAGCCCCGAGCAAGACCAGGAAGCAGGCTACCACCCGCTTCCTCCCTCGCAACACGGACCAGCTCTGATCACTCAGGAAATCTTCGGCCAGCAGCTCAATCAAAGCCGCAAACACTAGCAGGCCCGACGAGACGGCGTTCATGGTGCCTACCAAAATTAGGCCGAACTCCGAGTTGGGGCTGTACAGTGTGTGAGTGGCGAGGCCGATGGCTTGGCCGATTGGTGTTCTGATTTAGATTTTCCAGTTAGCTCTTTAAAAAAAGAGGTCGCCAATATGGGTGTGAAAGTGCTACTTACGTGCATCCGTACGCGAGGACCATCAGCCAGGGCTGCAAAGTCTTTTTGGGCCATGTAATTGAGGCGATGCGGGCGCCAAGAGCGAGGCCTTCAAAGGTTTCTATCGGGTGGGTTAGCCATGTTGTAAAGTGGGAAGACTCGAAGGAACCGAGGTAAACTGACGATGAAACGCAATGGCAATCAGCAGAACGACGAAGTTGGCGCCGACGGCCACGCTCAAGGCCATACCGATGAACACACTGTGGAACAGGATGCCGACCTCCAGCAACATGCACTGGAGGATGCTCTTTTTATGCAGCTGCTCCCGCGTGAGACTCGACCCTCCCTGGGACTCGATTTCCAACGTCTCCTTGGACGAGTTGGGCTGATCACCCGCCGCAGCCGACTCCCGGAGCGGCGCCGGCTCGATGCTCGCCTGGCGAGTGTTCGAGGGACGTGTTACGACTGCAGCGACCGCCACGCTGCTGCAGCGGCGCCCACCTCCCAACGAAGGGTGCGTGGCAGGACTCGGGGCAGCCGACGTGCCGGCACCAGCACCGGCGATTGCGACCTCGTCGGCCGACGCGGAGGAAGCGCGCGGCGCATAGCTGCGTGCCGGACTGAAAATCATCTCGATGATGCTCACGAAGAAGATACCCACGAGCGCTATGGCTCCCGGCATGGCCGGGTAGTCGGTGGTCCAGAAGCTTGAGAGACACGAGTCGCCGAGCGAGACGAAGGCGGTCGGCAGCAGGTGTACAAAGGCCGTGGCGAGCAAGACCCCGGTGCCGAAGTGGCGGACGCCGAAGAGAAAAGGCTCTGGGATGCGAAGGACCGGGAACTTGGCGGCAAGCAGGGGAATGGCGCAGGCTAGACTGGAGACGGCCAGGATGATGAGCAGCGCCCCGACATGGAGTGGCGTGTTGTAGTCGGCGCCGGTGTTATTCCCCGCGCACGCATCCTGTCGAGCTACGAGAGAGCGCGGAATAGCAATCTCGACTGCGTCTGGAACCTCCAAGACCGTCCTTGAAAACAATACCGGGCCAAACTCGCCGGCCACGTGGATCAGCGTCGACACGACCACCACCGACGCGATCCAGCCAACCCAGCCAGAAGGGGGCCGGATTGGACGAGAGGGAAGACAGGTTTGGCCTTCACCACCAAACACTGTCTTGGGCGCAATGAGCGGGCCTAGAAAATGTTCAGCGTGTGAGCATCATGGTGACTCCACCTCGCTGCGGTTCATGAAGCATAACTTACAATCCTGCTGACCGCTCATTGCAGAAAGGGGGCGCGCGGCAGTATGGCAATCGCAGTCGCGGTCGCAGTGACGAATATCGCCGGCTTGTTTGTCGCCATTGAGAAAACCGGCGCCGTCACGGGGCCCCGAACACCCGAGGTGGTATTCACGAGCGTTGGCAATGCCATTGAGGTCCTGGCGGGTCGTAAGGTCTGGGGCCAGGAAAGGCGGGTTCTGGTTCCACGTGGGGTGTTCGAGGTCGTCCTCAGTTCTCGACGGCCGGTTCATGGCGGGCGACGACTGACTGCAAGTACGCGTGTTGTTCTCGCGCCCCCTTTTCCGTTCTTGTATCGAAATGCCGTCGATGTCTACCTGTCTGTCCAAAAATTGGCTTCGAAGGGAGTGTTTTTTAAATGGTTCGCCAAAGCATGGAATCTGGAATTGAGTCGAAGCTGTCACTTTTAGTGGGGCGCAGCAGTGACGACGCTGTACCCCGGCGCACCGCGGCGGCATTGCCCAGACCGCACAGATGGGGGGCGTTCAGGTGTGGGGCTGCTCGGCAACGCCTTTTAACCCTTCGGGAATTGACGGAATTTTCGGGAGCATGACACCTTCGTCTTCACGGAAAACCAAAGATCTGGGGCTTGGATGGTGTATTCCGTCTAGACAGCTCTCGAGTTTGCTCCTGAAGTGGATCGTGAAATTCGGGTACATACAGATTTGCTGATATCGCCCCCCATCACTCAAACTGCTTCATGTTCATGGACAAGCGACTGATCACTTGGGAAGCTGAAAGCAGGCTTGATCAGGAGAGAAGAGAAGGCTGAATTGTGCGCTTCCAAGTTGGGGTCCTGGGCCTGGTGACTGACTCACATGAGCTGGAGGAATCCTAACATGGATGTTTGAGGCGCGTATTCGACGATCTGTGCATTACCCGTCGAGCTTCCGACATGCGTCTCGGCGATATCCTGGTTCGCTCCGGATTCGCCTGACGGAAGCTCCCGGGTGCCCCTGAGCTGCCCAACTAAGACAGCCGTCGGGAGTAGCAGACAAGGACTGTGATAAGAAGAAAGGCCTTGGGAGTTCCGAACCAATCGTCTCCAGCAGGATGGTGATCGTACAGTTGCGAAGGAACTGGACGTAGCCACCACAACTTGTAGGTCCCGTAACCCAGTTGTGACAAAAGGCTGAAAATCACTGGCGCAAGGATACGTTCTCAATGCACCCATTTCCTCCATGGAAGGATAGAGCAGATGTCTGTGGGTCTGGCGTTCAAAGATCGGCTCGAGTTGCAGTGTCCCCCTTTGGGTGGTTAGCGCCTCAAGAAATGATGCGTGTGTGCGGCAACGGGCATTTGCAGTGAAGTTTTTCATTTGTGGGATCTCATTCGATTCACTACTTACTAGACGACTATTCGACGAACCATGGGTGCCTGACAATCTTGGGGCTGGGGAAATAGTACCTTGAAACCTGGTTGAACCCATACCATACCAATGCCAGTAGAGCCTGATATCATAGCGGCAGAGGCTGTGCGCAACTCCCAACTGAAGGAAAACACGGATCTCTTCGGCCGGCTCAGGGAGGTTGTTCACATATGTACATTAGCCAAGTACGATGGCCTTGACTTCAATGCTGGCCCGCCTTGGAGTATCCGAGGGAGCGGAGGGATCGACAAAGGCCGAATGGGGGCATACTGGGTCATCACGTCAGCAAGTTGCATGACTTGCGTTTGTTGACCTTCACCTACCGGTTGCCTCGCTGCCTAAGCTGTCGAAGAGTTTGAAAACAATCACATCCTCTTGCGTCATGCCCTTCTTGTAGAACCACCGGTGAGAAGGGTTGTACTTGACCTCATAGGCCTCGTCAACAAAGTGCGGGTAGACGATGTCCATGGGAACAAGATCTTCACGATTAACGGTGCGAAAATCGCAGAGCGCCAGGGGGCAGTCGTCTACAGGCGCCGGCGAGATAGGTCTCCACACACTGGGGGGATGTCAGAGCAAAACTCCAAAACGTGTCGGTTCAAGTAGGTAAGGTTTGCAAAGTTGACCCACTTGATAAAGCGGACTCGGTCGCGCATGAGAGTTTGGTAAGAGTTTGGGAAGTAAAGCCGGAGCCGAGCTTGACATGTTGCCTCGGTAGCATCTGGCGATTGTATCGTTAACATGATTGGATACGAGCTGCAGTTTTTGGTTACTACGAACCGCAATGCGCTCGAAGAAAGGGCGGCTTGAAGTCGTATTTTTGGCCATCGGATTTTCGAGAGGAACCGTGATGGCGAAACTGAAGCAAAGAGAAACATCTGCCTTTAGCTATTATGACAGGCCAACGGGGAGTTTGACGAGCAGCGTAGGTAACACCTTGCACCCACACCACCCTCATCGTGGCGTACGCACATTGTAGGCGTAGCAGAAAACGTCTCGGCACCCGAAACGCTGCTTGAGCCATTCAGTCAACCTGGGGAGGTATTCGAACGATACGTCCTTGTCGGTCCAGTCACTGACAGTGATGGGGCATTTGGCAAACTCGAATCCGGACACGGGGAGTGAGAAGCGAGCCTCATGGCCACTTATATTGGTGATGCTGACACGGTAGCTTTTTGACATGAGGTTGTGCATCTGAAAGCCTGGGAAGCATTCTCTGGGGAGCTGGCATTTGTATGGCTTTTCCTTCTGGTAGCGCTCCAGTGGTGCTAGGTGGTGGAAGCACTCGGGTTGAACGGTCGGAAGGTTGAGCCCACGGAACTCTTCATCGAGGTCTCTCCTCT